ACGTAATTCAGTTGATATAAAATACCAAACAAAAAAAAACAGTAACTAAAAGACTTACCATAATATCCGAGTTGATTGAAATTTCGAAATTATCTGACGTAAATGGGTTCTCGGTATTTTGAATCAACCTTGTAGACGAAGTAGATGTACTACTTAAAGTAGAGTTTGTCAATAGTTTGTTTGAATTTTCAGCCAAAACAGGCAAAGCTTTTAAAGAAATAGCATTTTCAGGATTGAAACCAAACAAATTTGTTATTTTTTTAGATTGTGGTTTGCTTCTAGCTAACTTTTTTTATATAATATTTGCTGTTGTTGGAAACCATTGCAAAGAATGATATGTAAATTTTGAGAAATTAATTTTACAAGCAAGTTGCCAAGAAAATCCCTGAAATTGTTTGGAAAATTCCAATTCTCAGAAATTTTTTCCCTAGAGACATTTTCACAGTTGAGCAATCGCGCAATTATTCTAATAATGGCAATTTTATTTCTCTAAGTATTTAATAATACTTGACTTTTGATAAATTTTAGAATTATTATTAAACTTTAATTTGTGATTTGGCAAAATTTATTTGAAGAATTTTTATTTTATTTTTACTTTTGAATTAAGAATTTTAATTTTATGAGCAATATATACATATATAATATATATATATATATAAATATATATATATATATATATATATATATATATATATATATATATATATATATATATATATATATATATATATATATATATATATAACTGCATTCTAGTACAATAAGAAAATATAAAACTTTTTTTATAAGCAGTAAAAACAATGCTCGTCTAAAGAATTTAGAGAAGCAGCTCGCATAGGTCACCATGCTCATTTTAGGAGAGCTTTTCACCGCTATTGCACTCATTTCTTCCCGCCGAGGCCTGTATATATATAATAGTCAATGCAATCACATAATTATTGTCATAAATATATATATATATATATATATATATATACACACACACACACACACACACACACACACACACAGATATATATATATATATATATATATATATATATATATATATATATATATATATATATATATATATATATATATAATTCTTTTTAGAGTTGCTAACCAGGCTATGATCTTAAAAGTTGTTTTTTTATGTACTAATTTAGGAAAGTATTTACTTTTATGGATTGAACAATGTCTTCCACCCGCAACTATAATTAAAAAAATTAGCAGGCCCTATTATTATTCAAAAAAAAAGTTTTTCAAAATTATGTGATGTAGGTACTCAAATAAAGCGAAATTTTATAAAAATTTCACAAATAATAATTTTTTCATATAAAAATTATTATTTTAGATTTTATTGCATAATAACTATAATTTTTTAACTAAAAGTGAAAAAGGTGCATTTTTACATGTTTTTTAATAAAAAAAATTTTCGGTATTATGATTTTTGTAAAACGATTATTATTATTTTCGAATTTTTTATAAAATTTCGCTTCTTTTGAGTACCAGGTTGACCTACTTTTGAAAGACTTTTTTTCCCAAAAATATCAGGGTACTGGTAATTTTCCTAATAAAGTTGCGCCCTTTAAATCTATCACAATCATTCTCATATTTGATAGTATCAATATTAATAACTATTAGCAATGTTTAGAGCCTGTAACAAAAAAAAAAAATATTTTATGACCCATATATATATATATATATATTAGGGGTCATAAAAGATTTTATGACCCCTAATATATATATATATATATATATATATATATATATATATATATATATATATATATATATATATATATATATATATATATATATATATATATATATATATAATGTATATATAATGTATATATAATGTATAAATATATATATATATATTAGGGTGGTCCTTATTTTACAACTTTTGAATTTTAATACGGGCGCCCCCTAGGAGGGATCCAATTGTTCAAAAACAAAATACCCTGAAAGATTTTTACAATTAAATAATATTTAGGGTATGCTCAATGACCCGGAATTTTGGTGTATGTGCCCGAGCTGTCCAGCCACGCCATAATGCCAAAAGTATGAAATAAGGACCACCGTACCGACTGTGGCAGGGTTTGTTTTAGCCTGATCTCCTTTGTTGCTTACTTTAATGTGCTTTTGTCTACACTAGTTGCTTGTGAACATGTGTTTTTTATTTGTGTTATAGAAATTAATTAATAAAGTTGCCATGGCAGTATCGACAAGGAAGCAGTCTGAGATATATTTACTTGGGACAGTGAAAGAAGAGTTTACAGGCGCTAAATTGCCATCAATACAGGACGTCCTTGGTGTGTTTTTTTACCATCTGAAGGTCGTTGAAGAAACGAAGCATTCAGCTGCCAAAGAAACAATTCGACAACTCTTCACGTACTGGAGCCGTGCAAGAATACCAGTCCGGGATGAACGAAGAGCAATAAAGAAGTTGGAAGATTTGGTTCTGACTTGGGATAACCTTAAGAAAAACAAAAACAGAAAAACTGAAACACAGAAGAGGAATGAAGAAGCTTTTATTGCTGAGTTTCCGAATCTGTTTGATATTTCTCATGGCGATGCTCTGCAAATGATAAACATTGAAGAAGATAAGCAATTTTTGCTTGCTCAACGGGAACCTGGTAGGCGAGGATCTATGGCAGGATTGGACAAGAACTTGGAGAATAAGGAAAAGGAGAAAGAAAAACGAGATAACCAAATGAAGAAGAGAAAAGATGCTAGTGAGGAAGCGAAAAGGAAAATGTTTGACACGGCTGTGCTGGAAGACACCTCCTCCAACGAATCACAGGATGCAGATTTCTCAGGACCTTCGACATCAAGCCTTACCAGTCCAAATCCATGCCTTCGAAAACGCGGGAGAAAAAACATCCTTACACCGGAAGCTCTTGGTTCCCTTGACAGAGCTGGGATCAGTGACAGGCATGCTGTTCACACTGTGGCATCCGTTATTTCTGCAACAGGCCAGAACGCGGCAGAATTTGCTGTGAACCGATCTTCCGTTCGCAGGTACCGGCTGAAGCATCGAGAACTGAGATCAAAGGAACTGAAAGTAGAGTTTCAAAGTCACGGAAAGCCTCTAACTATCCACTGGGATGGAAAGCTGATGAAGGATTTGACAGGAGATGAAAAAGTAGACAGATTGCCGATTGTTGTTTCTTCTGATGGTGTTGACCAGCTTCTAGCTGTTCCTAAGCTTTCATCGGGAACAGGACATGCCATATGCAACGCCATTGTCCAAATAATTGATGATTGGAAGATCAAAGACGATATTAAGGCCTTTAGTTTTGACACAACAGCAGCTAACACTGGGCGACGTAATGGAGCGTGTGTTCTTCTGGAAGGAAAACTCGGCCATGATGTACTGTACTTAGCATGCCGCCACCACATCCATGAGATTATGCTCGAGGAAGTGTTTTCCTTATGCATCAGCCCTTCATCATCACCCGAGATACAATTATTCAAGAGGTTTAAACAGTTCTGGCCAAACATTCAAACTGCTGACTTTCATGCAGGGATCCAGGATGACGCTGTAATGGCTCAACTTGATTCGGAAACCAGGCAGAGGACTCTTTCCTATGCCACTGAGCAGCTACACACGGAACACCCCAGAGACGATTACAGAGAGCTCCTTGAAATAACAATTATTTTCTTGGGAGGCGTTCCTCCGAGAGGTGTCAGATTCATGAAACCAGAAGCGATGCACAGAGCCAGATTCATGTCACGTCTCATTAACAGCATGAAGATATTTATCTTCAGAAACAGTGGATTTCATCTTACTGACTGTGAGCTCAATGGACTCAAGGATCTCTGTGTGTTTGCAGTGAAGTTCTACATAAGAGGCTGGTTTTCTTCTCGTCTTGGAATCTCAGCTCCAAAGAACGACCTTCTGCTCTGTAAGGAATTGTTGGCTTCTGGAAACTGTACATCGCTTGCTGCCTTGAAGAAGTTAAAAGGACACCTTTGGTACTTGTCGGAAGTACTCGTAGGCTTTTCTTTTTTTGACGATTCCATTTCTGTTGAAGACAAGAGAAAGATGGTCAAGGCGTTGGACAACCCTGGAGTACAAGAACCAGCCAAACGCATCTCTCTATTAGACCAAGATATAGGAGAAAAGGAGATACCTGACTTCGTGACAACAAATACAAAGAAGTTCTTTAGTGCTCTGAACATTTCAACCAGCTTCTTCGATGAAGATCCTGCCATCTGGCGTGATCTGCCTGCCTTTACTGAAGCACAGACATTTGTTGGTAAACTTTGAGTTACTAACGACACTGCAGAGCGAGGTGTCGCCCTCATTCAGGAGTATAGCGGACTCCGGACAAAATCTGAAGAGCAGACGCAATTCATCCTTCAAGTAGTGGCTGAGCATAGAAAGAAGTTACCAGAAATAAGCAAAGTAGCAGTTGTGGAAAGCCTGAAGACATAATTTAGTTTGGAAGATGACTAAGTGAGTTGCTTTCAGAACATTATGTTATACAAATATCTTACATTTGAAAAACATTCATGTCACTTTACTGCGTTGAACACTGAGACTGAGTGACTGCTATATGCGAAAGTTTGTTTGAATTGAGCATACCCTAAATGTTAATAAAATTCAACAATAATTAAAAGCAAGTGTTTTTACACCGAATGGAAACATTTTGAGGGGCGCCCGCCAAATTTTTTCCAAAATAAATTTTCAACCTCCTATAAGGACCACCCTAATATATATATATATATATATATATATATATATATATATATATATATATATATATATATATATATATATATATATATATATATATATATATATATATATATATATATATATATATATATATATATGTATATATATATATATATATATATATATATATATATATATATATATATATATATATATATATATATATATATATATATATGTATATATATATATATATATATATATATATATATATATATATATATATATAATTTAACAAAAATGTAAAACAAATTTAATATCTACATAC